ATATCTCCTGACAGATCTTACGATGTGTTGCTCCTCGTCGAGGTCATTATCAAGATCATAGTTGGGAGAGAACTGTCTTTCCATGGCATCGGCGAAAACCTCAACCTTCTCCTCTGTCCTGAAGACAATGCCTCCAGGACCGTGAATGTGTGGGATTTGTTCACGCTTTCCGTTTTTGAGCGACTTCGCCACCTTCCAGAGAGGAATGCTTGAGTCAAGCATCCCCGCCAGAAAGTCGTTCCATTGCTCATTGCGGAATTCATGAAGAGCATTTCTTACTTCATGAACAAGATTCGTCGCTCTGCGAATGTCATCAGGATGACAAGACCTTTTCGCTTGCTTAATTGCAGCTCTTTTATCAGAAATTTTCTGACGAATGTCTGCTGGCAGAAAAGGTCTGCCGTGTCGCTGCACGGGAAGTACAGCTGCACGCTGCAGAGTTTGCTGAACAAAACTTGTCCACTCTGCTTGAGCCGCATCTATACCGTTCTCATCATCTATGATCGGTATATTGGGGAACTCTTTGAGGAGCGACTTGTATAGCTCCCAATCAATGCGTTTCCTTGGAGGGATTTCATCCCCCAAGATCTGCTCATTAGCCACTTCCAAAACCACGGGAAGATGATCGCTTGAGATGTCATACATGATTCGAGAAGTGATGCTGTAGCTACAGTTTTTGGATAATGCCAAATCAAGAACATCAGGTGCCTGAAGGTGATTAAATGGGTGGTGCGTCGGCTCCTCAGTACTATGTATGAGGTAGCCATTTCGTATCACATGGTTGTACAGTCGGATACCACTGGTGGAATTCAACCTGGAATGCCATGCTCGATGTTTGCAGTTGAAGTCCCCTGCCACAATAAGTGGACCCGAGTAGTCTAAAAGGACTTCCAGATCCGCCTCTTGCAGCCTGTTACCACACCTGACATACACCGATGTGATTTTTAACGGCACACCTCCCGTCATATTGACCACCACGGAAGCCGCTTCGATGCTCTGCATGTCAGCGTTTGTGCTTCTGTGGTAGTCAATACCGCGTTTCACTAGCACTGCCAAGCCGCCACCCCGTCCAGTCAATCTATCAGCCCGGATAACATCGTAATTCGGGAAAGCTAGACGATCTCCCGGATTAAGTAATGTTTCCTGCAGCAAGGCCACATCTATACTTTCGTCCACAAGAGCTTGATGAAATTCCCGTCTTTTGGGAATGTCCCTTAGACCCAAACAATTCCAAAAAAGAATTTTGATAAATGCAGGCTGTCGTCGATTGTACCTAGCCATTTGCAGGAAAGATCGCCTGCAAAGCCTGTGTTGCGCTAATCAGAGGACCTATGATCTGCTGTAAGGACCTTAGCGCGGTTGCCAGGTCCACATTTTGCGTGTTCGCAGAAGATCCCACAGAGGGGGCAGCCCGGGTTGCATCCCTAGCTGCATCCGCGTAACTTACATTGCGCCTTTGCGATATCACTTGCAGATTTTTCTTAGGGGCAAATCTGCAAGTTCGGCTATTCGCTGGATGCCCCCCTCCACAGTTCGCGCACTTTCGTTCCTCTTGTTCTGTTTGAGGGCATAAGTGGGTCATGTGGTCAGAGGCACATTTTAGACATTTAGGTGGTGCAGTGCAGTAAGATTGCGCATGCCCATATTTTTGGCAGCGGTGACACTGCCCGATGAGTCTTGAGTTCTTTTGAACTTCGACTCGGATAGCCAAACCTAGCAGCTCGTGTTCGTTGAACAGCTGCTGAGATTTTTCTATCTTGGGCAGTATGACTACCACCAAAGGCATGGGCACGCCGCCACCGCGTTTCAGGCGAATTATGTGCAGGGGGGAATATCCCCTCTGTTGCAACTCTTCCTTGATCTCAATTTCCGAAAGTGTCGCATGTACTCCTCTGATTACGGCATGAATGTTCCTCTCGGAGGGTAGAGGGAAAGTGTGATGGGGCACCTCTTCCTCCCTGAAGAGACGAATAATCCTGCGGTAATCATCCTCGGACTTGGGAATTATCCTGATTCCTGCATCGACGGCAACCGCGCGTTCGAATTTGATGCCCAAGGAAATAAACTTGTGATTTACGCCTCGCCATCTCGAAGCATCACGAAGAACGATGGGGGTAACACGTACCTTGCGTGGGGGCTGTGCAGTCGTGTCTTCTGGTACCTGAGATGTCGAAGGCGTGGAAGTATCCGATAGATTAGGCAGAGGCTGTTTATTCGAGTCGCTTGCAGTTGAATGAGATGTTTCAGACTGCGATTTTGGTGAAGGGAGAGGAGGAAATCCTGTCGTGTCGGTCTTGTTTCGTCGCGTTTTACGGGGCTTAACCTTGGTAAAACCGTCAGGGAGTGTATCGTCGTCTGTGGAAAGATCGCTTGAGTTATTTAACGGTCTCTTAAGATTGACAGCTTTGTCTTTACTGGGATTTTTGGGAAGTGTTTGGGAAGAATTTGTAATATTTAGATGGGAAGGTACCTGGGTTTTCAGTAGGAGGTCTAATTTAACTGTTAGGTCGGTAATTGTCCGCTGCTGGGCTTCGATGATCATCATCAATCTTTCATTGGTCTTCTTATCATCGTCCTTTTTTGACAGCTCCTGTCGAACCATCTCCAATTCGGCTCTCAGCTCCTCTATGGTCTGCTCCTTCGACTCCATCTCCATTGCCATGGTGGAAGCGCCATTTCCTGACCCCCCTGGGTCAGTTTCCATATTAAACACCTCGGTTATCTCGCTTTTCGTCTAAAAAATTTTCCGGATCGAAATTACGGGACAGCTGCTATCAGTGCCCTATACAGGGCGATATGCGCCTTATCATTCTCGAAGAATGGAGAAGGTCCCAACAACGGCTTCAAGGAAAGTTGATGTTCAAAATTGGCTCCGCTCGAAAAATATCAACTTTGAAGAAGCAATGCTGAAAGTACAATTATTAAGAATTGTCAAGGATCACAAGGCGGAATATCAAAAATACGCCATTGACGAGATGGCAGCAAGTCAAAATAAAACTGTGCTCCGTTTACCTCCATACCATTGCGAGCTCAATCCCATTGAGCTCATATGGGCAGAGGTTAAAAATTATATAGTTAAGCACAATACAACTTTTAAATTTTGTGACCTCAAAGGACTTTTCAAAGAAGCACTAGAATTAATAACAGCGCAAAAATGGGAAAACTGTATTAAGCACGTGAAAGACAAAGTTGAAAAGAGAATGCGGGAACTGGACAATATTTTAGAGGAACAAGTCGAGCCATTCATTATTGACGTTGGTGCTTCAGGCAGTAGCGATGATGAAAGCTCATCAAGCTCATCTTTCCAATAAAAGATGTCGTTCATCAAATTCGGTAAGTTATAAGTAATTATAAAGCTACTGTATTTTTTAATTAATTATTGACATTTTTGAACCCATTTTGGCAAAACCTATTCAAGAATCTACTTTCTGACAATGTTCAACCATGCACATTTTTTTACGTTTTGAACGTTTTAATTTGGTTACATATTTACCTAGAAATCAAAAAATATACTAACCAATATTCTAAAAGCAATTTTAAGAGATATACGATTATTTTTAATTTAGGCTAATTTAAACGCCATTTTGAGATTATATTCGACTGTATTTCACCAAACATCAGGCGGCATCCGAAGCTGGAAATCGAAGCGAAAATTTTGAAACCCTTATGTATATTTACATCATTATATATTTCTTACCCCACCCCCACATGATCCTATATCCATCACCAATCGTATACACATCGAATTGTGCTAATTTACTACAAAGTTACGCAAAGCAGCATCTACTATCTAAAATATATACTGCGTGACTCTTAATACGTCCCTGCCGAATGTTACAGCGTTCGATGATCACGTGGTCTTGTTTATGTCCGGTCTATCTCTTATCTGAATATACTGTAGTCCTCAAGTCTATGTCGAAACACCGTTACATCCAGAAAAACTGACTGTTTAGTGCGCTTTATGGGCTAGTGGAATCATTGGTCCGTACTTCTTCAAAAACGATGATGGCCAGAACGTTACAGTCAATGGTGATCAGTTTAGAGCCATGATTACTAACTTTTTCATTCCTGAATTGAACAATCATGATGTCCAGGAGCTGTGGTTCGAACAAGATGGCGCAACATATCACACAGGTCGTGCTACAATCGATTTATTGAAAGACACGTTTGGTGACCGCCTAATTTCACGTTTTGGACCTGTGAATTGGCCTCCAAGATCTTGTGATTTAACACCGCTAGACTATTTTCGGTGGAGCTATGTAGTCGTTGGTCTATGCGGATAAGCCACAAACGCTTGACCATTTGGAAGACAACATTCGCCATGTTATTACCGATATACTGCCACAAATGTTGGAAAAAGTAATCGAAAATTGGACGTCCAGATTGGACTACATCCGAGCCAGCCGTGGCAGTCATATTGCAGAAATCATATTTTAAACGTAATGCCACAAAATTATCTTTCGGATAAAAAAAATCATGTCAGTCGAATAATCCATCGTTGTTTTATTGCAATTTAAAGTTCTTTACCTCTAAAAAAACACCCTTTACAAGAGTATGAAATAACAGAATACAAAACTTTCGGCAAGAATTTGAGTGTTTTAAAATTTAAAATGTAACGATTTGAATAAATATTACTTCTCAATAAGACATTGCGGTCAATAAAGATGATTTCTCCTCTTACTAGTGAATAAACTATTTTTATTTGTACTTCGGTAAGGCCGTCGAGGTGACTGAAACGCTAGTAAATTTTCAACTCTTCTGCGATTTTATTTGGCGGCCAGTGAAATATGGAGGCTCATGTTGGGTGTGGTTGTGTGCCAGACAATTTGCAAGCAAATTGACTTCCTACATACTTTACTAAAAGTCAACTTAACAGTCATTAAGACCTCATTAACCCGCCACTGATCCATTTGATTGCGACAGTAAACATTGTTATCTCTGGAACGACGTCGGGTTGATAATGGTAGCCACAGGGTGTTCAGATACAAAATACCATTGCCGTTTCAATGTGTGTCCATCCTTATCAAAGTGGCGTGCAAAGTGCAGTTATATGATTTTTTCGAAATTGTCGGTGCAGTCGCGATATGCCTCCAAGTTTCTCTTCGATTTTGGATGAATGTACAGATCGGCTCATGAGGGGAGCCAAAGAAAAAGATGGAAAGTATAAATATGGTAAGTTTTAGACTACCCACCTGTTCCAATCTTTTTTAATTTTCGAAATTGGGTGATACTTCAACCGACCATGTTACTGCCCGATGTCTGGCATGCGAAGTGAATGATTTCCAAGAAACTATCGCGAATGATAAATTTGCCGCTCCAGAGCGACAAAGTAGTGATAACGCTCCCTACTGCTACGCTCCCCCCGGCAATGGAACGCTTCCATGATGCAAAAGTGTCAGATGTCATCATGAGATCATATAATGATGCGTGGTGCATGGCTCCGTATCAGTTCTACAACTACGAGCCCCTTCCCACTTCAGTTTGCCCACTTCAAGATTTGTACCAAAATATGCCTTTATAACCTAAACATGACGAAACTATTTACTTCTAAAACAATTTATTTTCTTAAAAACATTTTAGATACACTCTAGTCGTAAAAAATACATATTTGAAATCACTTAGACCTATAACTAATAGAACATCGAAGAAATGCGCGAAGTTTACAAAGCAACAATTGAAAGATTACCATTGGGTAACATCACCTTTATTTTTTATTACGGCTGAAATTCTTTGGGGCATAGAGATAACCAAGTATTGGCAAAAATTCGGTGTAAAACAATCCCATATTTCTTGAAGCTTTTGTCTCAGATCGGTGATTGTACGTGCAGAATGTTGTCGTAGAACCTTTTCATCTCGTGCCACAAAGTTTCAATAGGTGACAGATCTGGACTGCTAGAAACCCATTTCAAAAGTGGTACATTATTTTCTTCCACCCATTTTATAGCCTATTTTGAGGTATGGCACGCTGCACCATCTTGCTGAAACACAAAATCTTGGCCGGATGTCAAACATTCTTCCGTCACTGGTAAAAGCGATTCTTCTAAAATTGCCAAATATTTGTTTGTATCCACATTTCCATCAATAAAATGAAGTTTTCCTACTCCTTTTAATGACATACTGCCCCAGACCATAATGGATGCTGGAAATTTCACTTTTCTCTTCAGACAGTCAACATGGAATGCTTATTTTTTTTTGCGAATAACTCTACTGCGACTGTCACCAACACAAACTTCGAATCGGGCCTCATCACTCCATTGTATTGCACACCATTGTTGAGGTGTCCATTGTCTATGTTCTTTAGCCCATCTAAGCCGATTTTTCTTTTGCAGTGGAGTTAAAAGTGGCTTTTCTTTGGCCTATAAACAAGTTGTGCAACTTTAGGGTTTTTACTTCACTTTTTTTTTATAAGAAAACTTACCTTGCAAGTGTTAAATCCCAGTTTGTGGGCCTCTCTGTGAGTTGTGTATCTCGAAATTCTCCTTCCAACAGCGTCACTCCACAGATCTCTTAATTGTAAATAATTGGCATACCTGTTTTTCACGATTATTCTTGTTAATGCTCTTCGGTCGGCATTTGTGATTTTACTTTTTTTCACATATCGTGGCTTAATATTAACTGAACCAGTTACGTTATATCTTCTAACAATATTTCTCACACTGTACCGCGATAAGTCTAACAAAGTGGCAATTTCTGAGTTTGATTTCCCAGAATTAAAGAATTTAATTATCAGTAACCGAATTTTCTCACTAATAACCTTTCCTCTACCCATTTTGAAAACCTTAACTACCCAAAACTATTTTAAACGTATTCTGACAGCTGTGATTAATAAAAACAATTGTCATGGCTTTTATTTTTCACAGCCATCTATGCGTTATAGACTTATTTTGCATTGAAATGAAAATAGGTTGATATGCTGTAATTGCAACATGTGTTATTTTTATGCTGCAAATTTGATTAGGCAGTGATAAAGTTGGTGTTTTCTACTATATATTATCAAAATATTCATTGTTAATATTGTAAACCTATAACACCCTGCTACATTTTTATTATTTGTGTTTGATAAGAATAAAACTAAGATTTCAATAGTTGGGCTAACTGAAGTGGGAAGGGGCTCGTATAATACGGAAAAGTTGAATTGCTGCAGTTTTGGAAAAAAAATTTGAAGGTTGCCTCGCTCGCGTCGCATGGATCAGACGTATTATTTCTCGAGCTAATAATTATTTTCAGTGATAACTGAGATAAGAGGAATATTCTGATTTTACTTATTCTTACGTAGAAAGGAAGGAAACAAGGTTACATTCAGCTGCACTTAGCTGCTAAGGCGAATCTCATACGTTCAGTACTTTGCTGTGGTCTGAACCCTCAGTACCCACTGGTAATTCTGCTGGTGTCAGTAGATTTCTACGCAACCTTATATATCAATAATTACTAACGTGCAGGCTACACGGTCGATAAATATCACATTCCATGATAAATACTGACGGATCATAATAAATACTGATCATGTGATATTCGCCTAAATGTCATCTAAATGAACCGCTTTGAAAATTTCGAAAACTTTCTGATTTATTGACAGAAGTCACTTGTGAAGCAGTTTATGCTAAGCTGTGCTTGGTTGCTTGGTACTACTCTGTTACAATTTTAGCGTTAGGAATTGTTTGATGTACCTGTTCCATTGTTCGGAAATAGAACAAAGACTCAAGATAGGAGGTTAAAGTTTCTTTCCGTGCTCAAAACCTTGGGAATGCAAGTCTTGTCAATTGTCATTTTCATGGTTCATTGTTTACCTTTTCTGGTTATCAAAAAGTGCTCAAACTTGGCAAAACATATTTTTCACGATAAATGGAGTACCTCAATCGATATAATGGCATCAAAAATCAGTATGATGCCTTTTTGTGCACTAGCTAGTCGCTGGTCTACTACCAAGCGCATTCCCGCAAGTATCTTGAAAAGTGACATTATGCCGATTTTTTTGACATTAGGCTGTTTTTTGACATTATGTAGGTTTTTCTACAAGATATTAACTTAGTTGTACGGGTTGCCTAAACGTCATGAGGCTTGTAATCAATCTTTGGCTCTGAAGTGATGTAAAATCTGCTTCTGTGGCATTACTGGAGGTCTAAGCTGTAAGTTGTATGTGTTGATGGTAATTACATTGGGTTCTTGTCTCAAATGCACTTAATTGAGATTCAAAGCTAGAAATTAGTTGCGCATCCACTTCTTATCCATTCTGGAAATTACATATACAAATTTGCTGAATTTCAAAAATGAGAGAGATAAGAAATAATTATATTCACTGTACACTGTCGAATTACAAGTCATATACATGCTAACAGTAATTACACACAACGCGGGCGCGGTGATGATTTCCCGTAATTCTCCTCAGTTTTTCGTAATTTATAACTTTGAACATAGCCTCTCTTCAGAAAGCACAATATATAAATATCAAATTTTATACACAAGCAGACCAATACACATAATCATCCAGATGCGATCTTGCTATTCAACCAACTTTCTTCTCAGAGATAAAAACTACAGTCACGGATCACTCAGCCTCACAAAACTATGCAACCAATAATAAGTGTAGTTTAGTTGAGTGATTCCTCCATAGATGGACGTTCACAACGATCCTAGCGAGCAAACGTGGAATGACTGTTTGCGCCCTAAAAACTACCTAGTCTGCAAGTTGTTTTTGTTGTTTTTTACATGATACCCGTGCCGGTATACGCCTCTTATGAAGGAATGCAACAACGACATATAGTATACAATGTACAACTTAAGCCGTAGAAGCTACGAATGGCTTCCGCTAGTGCCATCTATGAAACAAGTGTTACACGACATCAAAGCCAAACCATCTAATTCAAGCATCATGACGTTTAGGCAACACACACAGCTACTACAGACGAAAATGAACAGAATGGCAGCTATAGTCAACGCCAAACAAAGTGGCGTGCACGTCATTAAGGTGGGTGTGTTGAAAAATTTACATTGTTGCCAAACTTTTTGTAAAATAATAAAATTTATTATTTACATATCTAGGTTTATAAGCAATATTAACCTCAAATGAGAACAAAAATAATAGTATAATAAAATTATAGATCTGTACTTGCATAATCATTAAGTATAACAATTATTGATCAGATGACACTACGAAACTACCATATTTAATTGATAGCTTAAAGGTACTGAATAAAAATCCAAATGGGGTCCTCCAAATTTTATGCATGGTATTTATTTTACAGAATTCATACAGAAAAATGCATTCTAAAATTAGGTAAGCTACTGGTGTAAGCTTTTTCTGTACAATAAAGTTAGTCGGAGTTTCTTTCTTCAGCGCTGTCTGAATCTGAATCTTCATCACTCTCAAAGTTGATTATTAAAGGTTCGATGTCTGGTCGATCAAAAATTCGTTCTCTTTCATACCATTTAAAAATTTCTTGCTCAGTATGTCGAACACTATTTTTCCACATGTCTGGGGTAACCGTTTGTAGAGCCTCGTTCCACATATCCAAACAGTCTTTTTCACTGTTACCATCTCTACCAATATGTCTGTTATAGTAACCTTTTGCTATGCCCCAAATTAACTCAATAGGGTTAAATATACAATGGTAAGGAGGCAGACGAAGAACTTTGTGCCCATGTTGTTCCGCCAATTCATCAATCACGTATATTTTAGGTGGTTTGTTTCTAAAAAAGCAGTTATTTTAAGAATAGGAATAAACAAAAGAAATATAAACTGTCGACCAAATTATATATAATTAAGAAGCATAATGTACCGAGCAACAATACTCAATAGCTCTGTTTTAAACATTGTGTTTAAAAATGGTATGTTTTGATTTGTCAACCAGTCTTGGATATTTTTTTTTGTCCATGCATTGTTGGGCACTTTGTTCAATATCATGCTGTGATAAGGGGCGTTATCCAGTATAATCATAGATGGACTCTCCAATTTTTCTAATAACTGATGTTGAAACCATTTCAAAAAATTGTCCTGGTTCATCTCTCCATGGTAATCGCTCAATTTTGTTTTCGAAGAAAATATCGCTTCACTACCCTCAATAAACCCATTTTCATTTCCAGCATGTAATATAATGTATCTAAAATATATTAGTTTTAAATTTTATAGTGCAAATTGTGTAAAAGTACATACCTTTTACCATCTGTTTTAATAG